AAAACTTGATGGCCATTTTTCACTAATTGCGCATGATAATATACCTTTTTTTTTATTTGAAAATTGATTTTAATGTGTATGTTTAGTCACACATTTGTAAAATTAAATCTCTCTTGTTCAATAAAAAATAAAATTATAATTGAAAAGTAAAAATCTTAATAATAAATAAAAAAGTAAATAAATAATTTTTCTTTTTTTGTTGCAGACGCCGAGAGATGACAGAACGACGTCGAGCCCGGGCGGTGCGCCCAGCAATCACACCTCGGCGCTATCGCCGTCGCCGGTGGGCGACGCGCCCTTAGGTAGGGCACTGATGGAAGCAGCTTTGCAACAACAAACGACGACCGGCGTCCAGCCACCCTTGGTCGTCACGCCATCCGGATACTGGGTCGACGGTACCGATCATCGACATACCCTTGATTCTGCTGGCAGGGCACTACTACCAGCGCAGCCTGCCTGGCAGCCCAGGATAGACCAAGACGACACGGCCAAGTGTTACCGCCGCTTCTTTGTCGGCAGGGTGAGTCCCGACATTTATACCGATATATTTTATACCCGATATCGGAATACGCGATCTCTTTTCGTGAGGACGGAAAACGGCTGGGAAACGGACGAAGAGAGCGATTTCGGAAACGTAATATAACGCGCATGAGAGAGTTCGAAATAGTAGCCAGTAGGGATTCTGTGCCACTTGTGTCTCTGATCTTCGGTTAAATATAGAACATACGAAAATGTATGGCGGTCTAGATAATTTACGCGTGGCGGGAACGCGATAAAATCGTGGATGTTTGTCAACATCTGTAGGCATCTATAAATGTCTCACTTCGAGACGCTGCGTCTGCTCCGCGAGCATCTTAATAGTCTCGAAAAATATCAACCAACGGATTTCTACAGTTCCCTTCTATATTTCATACTTTTCCATCCTCCTTTTTTCGAGCGATCTCCTTAATTTATCCGATTCGTCATTGGGATCAGGGCGTCACGCGAGTATTATTCCGCCCCTGAGACCGTCGATTCGAGCGCAAGAACCGTGATGAACCGCGATCGCTCAACTGACGTACGTACGTAGGTGTGTAAGGAAAGGAGGAGGACGGGTGCACGGAGAGGACGAAGATAACGAGAGGGAGAAAAGGAAGAGTCGCGGCGGGGGAGGGAAAAGAGGAGGCACATAGGAAAAGGAAAAGAGCACTTTGGACGTGGGAGTGGGAACGTTCTCATAGCTTGCACGAGAGTCCGATGCCTGGGACTAAGAGGGAATCCTCTTCTCCTCCTCCTCCTCCTCCTCCTTCTCCTCTTCCTCCTCCTCCTTCTCCTCCTCCTCCTTCTTCTCCTCTCTTTCTCCTCTGATATTCATCCGTCGTCGGTCGTTTTCACGATTCCGCGATTTTCTTCCGCTTCTGCACTTTGATCACCCTCTTCTACCTCTTGTTCCTCCTTCCCCCTCTCTTTCTCTCTCTTTCTTCGTCTTCGTCGACGGATCGTCGTCACGACGCGGTCAGGAATTTCCCTCAGAAATGATGAAAGATTTGATGCGTGTACAAAGTAATAAATCGCAATCAAAAAGCGTATAAAAAAATCTCTTTCTCATTGAAATTGTTATTGTTATTATTATTATTATATATTATTAATTACGCGCTCGTTATAATTTCGCGTGAGCAAATTGCAATGTGTTTTTCACGCTAAATATTATTACAACTACTTTAGTGCGTTATATATCTGTTCGGAAAATCTGCTAATTAGCCAATAGTTAAGTCGTGCATGGCTCGTAAGAAAAAGAGCGCGTTATTTTCCGCTTCCGACAGCGCGCCGTTTTTCTAGATAAGACTCGACGGATGAGTTCCCGTTCCGCCTATTGTTACACGACGGCGTTACCTTTTGCTCGTGCTTGTTTTTCTAACTTACAACGCGTGAACACTTGAAATTCTCTAATTTCACGAAGTAGACGGTAAATCCATCGCGAGGATCGCGCCGACGAGACGAATCCAATCGAAAAATCCAACTGAAGTAGGCTTACAAAACAATATTACGAAATAGCGTAAACATAATGTTGCAATTACGTCGGAATTACGTAGGCTCGTCCTTCGTTGGCTCTTCCTTTTGATGCATAATCGAAATTTAGAAAGCGTTTCAACTTACGAATTTTTGTGCCTCGTGACCTATAAAATATTCCGTGGAAAAAGCTGCGGTGTCTTTCTCTTTTCTATTCGTATGAGAAACTCGACGAAAAAGGAGGGAGGGAGGGGGGGGGAGGGAAACGGTGACGGAAACGCAACAGTCGCGTTATATAACAATGGCTAACGCAAACCGGATCCGATTAGTCCGGTCCGTCAAAATTGAATCCGTGTACGATCTCGACACGCGAGACGTGTCGGTCGGTCTTCTTGCGTCGCGTCACGCCGTGCCGTGTCGTGAAAATGGTGACGGCGTGAAGACACGCCACCTTCGCCGGCACACCATCGCGTGTTCCGGCCGTGTAATGCGTGTTTGTTACGCGCGTCAAGAAGAGAGAAGAAGCCGGGCCGGGTTCGCGCTCGTTCGCGCTCGCTCGCGCGCGGACGAAAGAAAGAGTCGATTATTTGCGGGAGATAACAACGGTGCGCGAGTAATTCCGAACCGTAACAGGCGCAAACGGTTATGCACCTCGGAGCCGATCATAACGGCTAACGATATCAATCGAGAGGTCGGAGAACAAAGGAGACGCCGGGTACAGAGTAAATGCCCCGTTGCGCTCACAATAGAAGGGCGCGCCGTCTTAGAAATCCAATGTAATCGAGTCCAAGTTAGACGAGATTTTCTCGCTGTTTAAGGATGCGGGGTAATCTGCGGATGTAAGAAAGGACTCGAATGTGTAGACCTTTTCGAAATTTCGGAATTAAGACGCGTAAAGGCCCTCCGCTTTGAGAAATCCAGTAGTCTCGAAGAGAAGTATGCCATCGCGCGTCGCCACTTGCATCTCGGATCCTTTCAGGATAGATCCTTTAGAATCCTATCCTTTGGAATACCTCTGCGTCTTTTGCGGAATCGATCGCAATTTCAATTTGCGCGGCCGGTTTATAAATCTCAATTTCACTTTGCGATTAATTTACGAGCAATTTAATTATGATTCGCAATTAATCTCGTTGAAATCCACGCCAGTTCCACGGACAGTTTCACAGCGTGTCCGCGATATTATTATTATTATTATTATTATTATTATTATTATTATTGTACTAATAATTTAACAATTATATGTACTGTTGCATTATATTACGGTAATAATGACAACGCCGGTAATAAACGTACGTACAATAACTTGATGGCATGAACTCCTGTGAACTCCGGGCGCGTTGCCCTTTCTAACTCCCTCCATCATTTCCATCCGAAGGTTAGTAAAACACCGGAGGGGCAGGGAGTGGTGGTGATGGCGGTTTGCGATGTGTGCATGCATTTCACCGTGCACTATTCTGCCGCGACCCGACCTTTCATGCGTTCCTCTCTCCTCTAGGCCTCTCTCGGCATTTTTGCTCGCGTGCAACGCGAGCGCCGCGGTCACAACGGCGCGATGCACCATTTTTTTTTAATATTTTTCGCCGACCATCGCGGCTTACCGTAAATTAAGCTGTAAGACGTAAACGGAAACGCTCGCTGTTCGCGTCGCGGCCGCCTTTATTATACGCGGACTGTGACCACGGAAGATCCCGGGAAACGCAAGAAGCACCGCGTTTCTTTCCTCCGCGTCGAGAAGCCTCGCGGACGGGTGCGGCCAAATGAAAATTGGGTCTCCCAAATGAAAATTAAATAAAGAAACACGCGGACAAATTCACCTCGGATTCGAATTCACCTTCGTGCGCGAAGCGGGATATTAAATGTTTTACGTTTATCCGGACAGCTTTTACAGCTCTCGGGATTTCAATTCTTCTCTTGTTTAACGAATTCTTTGAAACGTAAACTGCTTGTTTCATTCGAATATTTTCTGATGACAATTACATTTTGAAATTATATTATTGTTACAAATATGGAATAAAAAAAATAATAATAACGGATTCTCAATATCGATAGGAGGATAGTAAGATTAATAAGAAGAATACACTGAAAGTATAGCGATTCAATTCAATTCTATTATCACTATGCTGTATTTCTCGGTGTCTTTTTTTATTAATTTTTTTGATATTATCATCATCATAATACAATATTTATTATTCTTATTATACATTATATTATTATTTTAAAATTATTTTATTCTGAAACTTAGCTTCTGCAATCGTGAAGATATATAAAAAAAATAATATATATGTGTGTGTGTGTGTATATATATATATATTTATATATACCTATTTAAAATATATTTATGCATTCTTCTTCCGCATCGGAGATGCGCATTTGAGATGAGGCTGCGACGAAAGGCTGCTAATCGAACGAGCCTGCTAATAAACTCGCCGGAGACCATTTGCGTAACACACATTGTCCTCGATACGGCGAGGGACATCGTGTACGATACAACACTCGCGCGGGATAAAACGCGCTAACAGCAATTTGCAAAAGCAACACAGAGGACGCGTTGCACGCGCGTATAACGCGGTGCTGCGCTCAGGGCCGCAATTGTGTGTGCGTACCTTATTTCACTCGCGGCAATTTCGCAATGCCCTAATTGGATCCGGAACGCGCGCGAGCCACCGGTAATTGTTCCGATACGAGCCGTGCGTTCGCGCGCCGGTTGCGCGTCGCGAGATTAAACACATTCCATTCACACCGTAATTTCCCGGCGGAAAAAAGTAGGATAATCGAAAAAAAAATCTTTAAATTCCTCCTTCGTCGCCGACTTTCGGAGAAGCTTGACGAAATCTTGACGATCTCGAAAACTTCTTAACAGGTTCGCGTCGGAGGAATAGGTTTATCGCGGACAGATCAAGTTCTCTCTCTCTC